TTATTTACTTATTTATCCTCGTTAATGTTAATTGCCTTTTTATTAAACCCTTAAGTATAGTGTACTAACTTTTAAACCCCTAAAAACATTTGTTTACATATTTATCCTCATTAATGTTATTAACAACTAAATTTGTGACATAAAGTCAAATTGAAAGAGCTTCCTGAATGTGATTAGGTATAGCGCGCAACACTAACGAGCCTAGTAATTTTAATAATTTTTTGTCAACACCCATATCAATAGGCCAAGAGGCCCAACCCAATTTTATCGAAAATGGGTTTGTAATTTTCTTACTGGATTTCATGGGCTAGTTAGTAACCTATTAAGTTTTTTTAAAAAAAAATTAACTATTTTTTTTTTTTATAAAGAGAGAGAGAAAGAATGAGGTTGTCACCAGTGGAACCTTAACTATCTGTTTGAAGAGGAAACAAGTTTCCAGAGAGTTGTAGTTAGATTTGAAAGTAGTTGTCCATGTCCCATAAAAATGCCAAAGCTGGCCCATTGCCCTATACAAACAGACCTAACTCTAGCTTCCCTACCTCCCACTTTCTTGCCTTTCAACACTATTTGACACCAATATATAGATGTGGATTTTTTATTTGTATCAAAAAGTTGTTTGTACTTCATTCAAGTTTGTTGTAGTGGATACGGATTACTTCCTCCATCTCTTCTCAAAACAAATGCGTCATTTGGGTTATATGTTTGTTAACTCATGAGTAATTCAAACGATTAATATCCAAAAATGTTTTACATAATGAATGATATACGAGTATTAGTGTATTACTATATTTATATAATCAGAGTGAAGTACATGAATATTTTTTAACAACAAAGGTTGTACTTCGTAATATCTTTGAAATATTAGCAATATTCTCGAACACTAAATATATCTGACATTATAACATGTATTGGATATCCACATTAACATAGGCCCTGTTCTTTTGAGCTGTTGTGGTTTGCTCTGCTCTGCTCATAAGCTCAAAGAACAAGGTCATACGCTAGACTTCTAAAAGGAGTCCAAATAGTAATATTTTGACAAACATATTATTATGCTTTTATGGGCACTTATCAAGTACTTGTGACATAAATCTTTGCTAATCCTTGGCATATCCCATGTATATCATATGCAACCGCACACAATTTTGTGAATGAATGATTGAAGAGGAGACCGTATCTTCCTATCATTTTGGAAAATTTACCATACTTTGCTAAAATAATTATTTTTTATATGAAAATTAAAAAGGTACTCCATACAAATAAAGGCAAGCAAAATCAAAGTGAGAAAAAGGTCATGCTGTCGGGAGTTTCCAAAAATAAGCCAAACGAAATATGGAACAACCACCTTCTACCATTGGACATTGTTTTTGACTTCTTCCTACTCATTTTTATTCCCTCATTCATCAAAACATTCATTATCTAGTTATTTTCGACATTATATCTTAGAAGAAATATATGTTACGAATCTTTAATTTCAAGTATAGCAAGATCAAGTATTATATTGTTGGTAGGTTGATAATTTGTTAAATACATGACCATCTAATTCCATGGCAAAAATAAAATAAAATAAAATACAAAATATATCCCTCTATATTGAATTAATAAATTGACTTATTTATAAAAAATAAAAAAAAGAAGACAAGGTTAATATTGGATTTTGTTTATCACATGGCATGCATGCGTAGAAGTAAGTGGTTTATGTAATGAGTGTCGGGTTACACACTTGTGTAAGTTGTGTTGTTACTTGTTAGGTCACATACAAGTAATACAACAACAATACACATAATATATTTAATTGAAGTATGATACGATTAGTATGAGTTGAGTCAAGGTTATGCTAATATCTTGGATTCAAATTACTTTGATCAAACAAAAAGCTAGGTTGAATGCTAATAATGCAATGATGGGATTTTCGTGCTGTTAATTACTTAATTGGGTAGGAAGAAGAATGGGAGCATCTCATGTGAACTTTGATACGAGTATAAGAAAAAGATTTGATTGAGGGAAATCGAGGAGATTACTATAATAGATTAATAGTTTATATTATTACTAGCTTGATGTGGTTATAATTTGTCCATTAGGTAATGGAAAGATATAGCATATAGTTTGGATTATGTATAATATTATTTAGATTTGGACGAGTCAAATTAAGATATGTGAACATCAAAACCAACCGGCCATGTTTCTCGATCTTTCAATTAGATGAAGGCAATCGTATACATTGTTTTAATTTTGTAATTGCGCCCACATTAGTAAAACACCAAAGATTTGTGGACTGATAGTTGCTTGCCTTGGACGTCAAGTGTCATTTAGTTTTTGTATCGTTGTGTGTCATTCAATTAGAAAGGCCTTAATAATGTCAAAAGGGGCCGAGATATATTTTTGAGATCGTACTATATGTATGAAGGTATATAAGTTTTAATGATTAAGTAGATGTCTGACACAAAATCATAATATGTCGTTGAATTTGACTCAAATCAAGTTTATAGTATGACTTTAGGTAAATAATAAAAGACGGTATGTTTATGCTTAGCTTGTTCGAGTACGATAAAAAATATACGAAGTATAAGTAATGCAAGTAATACATGTCATTAATCATTGATTAGCTTGAAATAAGTGGACCTCTTTTAAATTTTTAGGTACCATGTTTCAATTCCAAATCTTGGTAACTTTTAATTTACTGGCAAGTAAATTTATATAATTAGTAACTAAATTTCCTTGTCAAATATTATGTAAGTAATTATTTGATGTCTAGACATTGTCTCCATTTTGCCATAATCACCTTTGACTAATAGATGTGAAACCATTTTTCTTACTAAAATGGATAAAAATAATAATAGAAACTAGATATGGATGTTGGGTAGGCAATAATATGTAGGCTAGAAAATCACTTTTCTTAAACTTAATGCAAGTGTTAAACAAATGAATTTTGCACGTTTTATATGCATGTAAAAGCTTTACTAATCACTGCACAAATTCAAAATATTTGGTCGTAAAAAGGATAGCTATACATAATAATCAAACACTTTTATAGAAGAAAAAATGAAAAATCAATTATCGAAAAGTAACGTTCTCAGTTCTCAATGTGCTAATTAAATTATGACGAGTTTAATCCAAAATTGATTTATAAGGGGGAGAGGAAGGTTGAGAGGTGAGAGTGATGTATTTTAAGGGGATATTGCTACAGATTTTTTTTATTTTTTTATTATTTTTTTTAGAGAGTAATTTGAGTCAAGAGATAGACGTGTAGCATACAAAATTCATGTTATAAAATGCAAAACTACAATATAAACCTCGTGATTATGTTTTGATAGAGTACTCAAAATTTCATATATATTTTTCCTTGTACAATTATTGTAACTTTTGATACATCTAAAGTATGCATACATTATACTTAATCATGTCATATTGTCATAGTAAGTTTTTACTTTTTAGGTACATTTACAAGATAATCTATCATATTGAGATTAAGCTTTTTTTTCTTTGCCTGTAAGTTTAGATAATCAGGTTCATAGCCCATAATCAAAACTCAATTCAAAGATACATTAAATATATAGGTTTAAAGATGTTGCAATTGAAGGTTAATAGTTGAAATAAAAGTGAACTTTATGCTCTTATCTAAACTAAACTTAATCATCTTTTTTAAACTTATTTTTTGTAAAAATAATCTTAGATATGTTGAATTGAACACATCCTTCATCCTTTTTAAATCACTTGACTTGTTACAAATTGAATAGAGTAGTAAAAAGTGATGGAGAAGGATAAATAATATATACCAGCAAATGATGAAAGGGAGGAAGGTGGCCATTTAAAGGTTTTGTTCAATGAGGATAGTATGGTGGTAGGCCATGTGACACCTACACAAGTATATATTATGGTGTATACCAAAAAAGTGTTTTAATAAGTCAATTTATCATCTATGTTACACCTCGGTTTAACAATGAATCAATATCTGGTTAAGGACTTAAAACATTTAGACATGACACTTAACATGTCTCTTAAACTAATAAAAAAAAATACATTTATTTTAAAAGATTTTTCTTAATTAGACTGTTGTTTCATATAAAAAGTCAAAACAAAGACTTTTAGAGACGAATGAAATATACGAAGTATATAAATATATAAATCATCTTATATAAGATAACAGATACATAATAAGAAAAAATACTTGGTCATCTATTTTTGCACGACCCTATATGTGTTTTAATTTTTCATGCAAATATCCAATATATCACTGATGTTGTTAATCTACAACAAAACTAGTCGTTTATCCCAAAGCAATTCCCGCTTATTAAGACTTGAGTGCTTGTTTTTCCTTCTAACCATTCTTGTTAATTATTCCCGTTTTTCCTTGTAACCACTCCGTTATTTATTCCCGTTTTTACTTTCTTCCAAAAAAAAAATCCAAAAACAGAAACAGTTCCTCAGAATAAAATTTTATTTAATGAGTACAAATAGTAAAAAATGGCCAAAAGGAGGGAAAAACGAAATGGATTCCAGCAAATAAAAATTATCAAAGTAAGAGAGAGATGAGTCATTTTCTTTGAGTTCCATAAATCTAATTCACTAATTAAATAAATCAAGCATTTTTTTTAATATTAATTAATAAAAATAAAAAGAAAATGTATTTGTGAGAGGGAGCAGCCATGTTGATAATGTCAGGTTGGCGTGCCTATCACTGTGACTCTTCTTAGGAGAGAGAAAATATTTAGAGTGGGCATCTTCCATTTTTGCCCACTTCCCCATTTTTTCCTTTTATTTCAATCAACCAATTATATTCCTATTTCTCTTAATTTTGCTTCAAGTTTACATTTTTTTTAGATAGATATTCATACGTAGTATTTATTTTAAAAGGAAAAAAAAAAAAAAACATTCTTAGACATAGCTTTTCGTGTAGTTAAGGTGGCTGACAAAAGCTTAAAAAAACAACAGCTCATTGTTCTGATTTATGGAATGGTATACCATTTTTAATTTCTTTATACCATAATCTTTTGTTTCCATTTTCTTGATTTTTTTCTAGTGTTTTATACCATATGTTGTTTTTTGTTCATTAATTGTCGCTCGAATAGACATTCGAGTTGGAATTGTTCTTCGTGTCTTTACTTATGCTCGATTAATAAATCATCATACAAGTTCACTAGGAAAGAAAATCAGGCCGACAACTTAAATCGTGTTAAATTAGTAAAATTACCATACAAAGATTGATTCTTTATAAAGATAATGTTGGTTATTGGCTTTCACAAAGAAGAAAAATTTCTCTCTCTAAAGGTCAGTTTCAAACACACTTCACTAGACTAGCAGCCTTAGACCCTCTGCTTCTAATGATTACTACTATTTCCTCTCAGTTTTCTTCTTTTTCTTTTCCTCTGTTTTTCTGGGTTTAACTTTTTTTTTTTTTTTTTTTGCTTTCTCTAATAAGTTTAATATTTTTGGTAGAGTTGTATTTAAAAACCAATATTTTTTAGTACAACATTTTTAATGGGTTTCCATGAAAATTCGTGTCCTATGAATATTCTCTTCCAAATCTAATTCCAATATAAAAAAATTTATACAATAAAGTACTCATTTATATGTATAAAAACTGCAAAATCCTTGTATTAAAAACCTGCACATTATCAGTGAAACAACTTTGTTGGTAAGAGAGATTGTTTGTCCACATGAAAAAAGTGTGGGAGATGCTGATTGTCCACCCTATGTTTTGTGCATTTTTTGCAGGGCTTCAATTTCAATCTCAACAACAAAAAAGGGGGGTTTTTCTTTTCTGTAACCCTAATTTAATTTTTTAATTTCTGGGTTATTTTCCTTTTAATTTGGGGGTAATTAATGAAAAAGGCGGTGTAATCTTTGAAGCAAGTGGAGGAGAGAGAAAATAATGTTATGGGTATGTAAAAATGTTACATTGGGTTCCCAAATTATGTCCGGGCTCAGTGCACTGTGCTGTTGAGTAAGGAAGCATAATCAACTTAACCTCCACCCTTTTCTTCATCAATTACTATACTTTTGTTTTCTCTCTCTTCATTTTCACTTTCACTTTCTCTCTCTTAAACTTTTGCTTGGAGGAAAGAAGAAGGTGTTTGAAGGAGGGTCGTTTTTAGTTTTTACTTTGATCTTTTAGTCTGTTTTTCATTTTTACCCAGATTTCTGTTTCTGGGTTTTTGATTTTAGTTGGTGGGTGCTGTTTAATTCTGGGTAAAGATGAAGTTTATGAAGCTTGGATCTAAACCTGATTCATTTCAGACTGATGGTGATAATATCAGGTCAGATTATTTCCTCTTTTCTGTTTTTGATTAAGCTGTTGTTATTACTGTTTGATTAGAAAGCTTTGATTTTTGTTATTTCTTGTTTCAATTTTTATTGTAATTTCTTGATATAGTACAATGAATTCTAACTTTCTTATTATAGAAACTTCATTATCAAGGAGTACAACAAGGTTTAGTCTTGTTGCAAAAATGGTGATTCAATGTTTGTAAAATGGGGCTTAGTTATTTACTTATTTGTTTCAGAGAAATGTAAATAATTTTAATGGGTGTGTTTCGGTTATTTCTGACATTTTAGAGGCGAAAGTTGGTAGTATAGTGCTGATGTTTTTGATTACTGATAAGCTGCCTACACTAATTCATGTTGATTGTTCCTTGATTTGGAGGTTTGCTCTGACATTGTGAGCTGGATTTTGTAAATTTGTGGGGTCCTTTGGGTCGTTCTTGTAGCTAGCTAATGAACATGAGTTGAAGATCATTCAATGGATTTACCGCAACTTCATAATAATAGTCTTGTCCCTTTGCCATTCATAGAGACATTGAATGAGGTTTGAAAACACTGATTGCTCTATTATCTGGTCTCCTTGTCTCTGCTTAGATAGCTCTGTGTTATTCATACTCTGTATCCCAAGACGGGTTAGGAGCAATGTTCTATCTATCTCTGAGATGCGACGAAAAGGTCCAACATCGGTGACATTACATTTTTTATATATCCCGTGTATAAATTATTGATATTTATAATGATGTTTTCCGGGTTTTCTTGAGTGATTAGAGGGCGATTTTTAATAGAAAAATACGAGGTTGGATTAATTTCAGATCAATCTCCGATATAGGACTCTAATGTTCCTCTGGGATGTTAGTATAGAAATAAAGTTTTGCACTTGTATAATCGTACTGAAATTAAATTTGGGGTTGTAGCAACATTTGCCGAATTCTATTACTGTCTTAGTCACTGATTCTGTTACCTGTGTTTATGCCTACGGAGTAGTTGATATTGTTAAGCTTTTCTGCTTATATGGACTACTTTTGTTATTGTCATAATGGAAACATAAGTCTCACTCTGAATACTGGGAAGTCGGATGCTAATCTCATTGAGTTACTAAATTTACATGGACATACACCAAGGCAATATATGGAAAGTGCCCTGCTTTGATGTTATCTTTTCTGTTACTCATTGTGTGTGTGTGTGTGTGTTGGGGGGGAAGGGGTAAATCCGGGTGATGGGGCTAATTGCTATTCTGCAATGATTGCTAAGATAAAATAATCAATTGGTATATGGTTAGAGTCCATCAGACATTAGTATGTAACTATGTGTCATGTGGAGTTCGTGACTGTTAGATTTATGATCTTGTGTGCATCGTTTAATAGAACTTTTTTTTTTGTTATGCTTGTCCGAAAAGCTTATCCTTTAATATTATTTAGATTGGAATTTATATTCTATTACCATGGCTTAAACTTGAGAATCCTCGCTTTCAGGTATGTGGCAACTGAGCTGTCAACCGACATAGTTGTCAATGTTGTGGACGTCAAATTCTATTTACATAAGGTATGAGAATCTTAGAAGTTTCACATTTGTAAAATATAAGATTGTATAGTAATACAATGGTGCTATATATCCTCTATTCCTAGCTAGGTTGCTTGTTTCCCTTTTTTTCCTCTGACTTTTTGGCCTCATTACTAAAAAAGAGGTCGGCATATGAAATTCTTGCCTGTTGATTACAAGTATTTCTTATCTTATGTTGTCATCAGTACATGTCGTAAACATATTACATGCTTTGTTTATTTAGATGACAGGAAGTAGCAAGGTGATTTTTTTTTTTTAAAAATCCATAAAGATGTCCCAAAACAAACTTCCTTGAAAGCATAACTTACACAACAGAATACATTACCAATAGTCTTCCAACTTGCTTCTATTGTTATGCTTATATTATGTGCTATGTTTTTTTTTTTTTTTTTTTCCAGTTTCCCCTACTGTCCAAGAGTGCTCGTTTGCAAAAGCTTGTTGCAATGGCAAGTCAAGAAAGTCAGGACGAAATATTCATCGAGGATATCCCTGGGGGACCTGCTGCCTTCGAAATATGTGCAAAATACTGTTATGGGATGACTGTCACACTAAACGCCTACAATGTGGTTGCAGCTCGATGTGCAGCTGAATTTCTCGAAATGTACGATACAGTTGAGAAAGGCAACCTCATTTACAAAATTGATGTCTTTCTCAACTCTAGTATCTTCCGAGGTTGGAAAGACTCCATCATCGTTCTCCAAACAACTAAGTCTCTACTTCCATGGTCTGAAGAGCTCAAAATAGTTAGCCACTGCCTCGATGCAATAGCTTCTAAAGCATCCATGGATACTTCCAAAGTTGAGTGGTCGTACACCTATAACAGGAAGAAGAACCCATTGGAGAACGGAGGGGAACAACATTACAATGGTGTGAGGAAACAGCTTACAGTTCCTAAAGACTGGTGGGTAGAAGACTTATCTGACCTTGACATGGATCTGTATAAGCGGGTAATAATTACAATTAAGGCAAAAGGAAGGGTTTCAAGTGATGTCATCGGTGAAGCCTTGAAAACTTATGCATTGAGAAAGTTGCCTGGTTTCAGTAAGGGTTTGGTTCAAGGTGGTGATATGCAGAAGAACCAATCATTAGTTGAGACTATAGTTAGACTTCTTCCAAAAGACAAAGGCAGTGTCTCTTCTAGTTTTATGCTTCGATTGTTGAGAGCATCAATGTCTTTAGGTTGTGGAGAAATGGTTAGGATGGAGTTGCTGTGGAGAATTGGGTTACAGTTGGATGAGGCTTCAGTGGCAGATTTGTTGATCCGAGCTCCGCCTGGTGAAACTACTGTTTATGACATTGATTTGGTGGAGAATCTGGTTAAGGAATTTGTGATGCAGGATCGTGTTGTTCAGAGTAATTCTCATAGTGAGATAGATTTTCAGGAGCTTAAGAAGCCTGTGGCCATATCAGATGCTTCCAAGGGAATGGTTGCTAAGCTAGTTGACAGCTACCTGGCCGAAGTTTCAAGAGACCCCAATCTACCACTGTCTAAATTCATTGGTATATCAGAGCTTGTTTCGGGATTTCCAAGATCAACCCATGATGGGATTTACCGTGCTATTGATATGTACTTGAAGGTAAATTAGAATGCTGTTTTGAAACCAGTTTCATTCAAGAATGTTTCTACATGTTAGTTTAGAAAACTTTCTAAAACAACTCAATCACAATGTCAATTTGTTGACAATAATGACAAATTGACAACCACTCCTGATTGTCAGTTCTTCATTTTTGTGCTATTTGTTACTCAAATGAAATTTGATATTCTGCAGGAACATCCCGCTATAAGTAAGAGTGAGAGGAAGAAAATATGCAAACTGATGGATTGCAGAAAGCTCTCAGTAGAGGCCTGTGCACACGCTGTGCAAAACGAACGCCTTCCCTTGCGAGTTGTAGTTCAGGTACTCTTCTTTGAGCAAGCACGAGCCACATCATCGTCCCCAGGAAATCGGACCCCAGACTTGCAGCGTCCTGCCCGAGCATCCCTTCCTGGTGGATCACACGGAAGCTCAAGGTCTGCAACCACAAATACGGAGGATGACTGGGATGGGGTCCCCACGACAGAGGAGCTGAGGGCTCTGAAAGGTGAAATAGCCAACCTTAGACTAGGGGGTGGTGAAGGGACTAGCGGTGATGGCCCTAAGAATGATATCGAGAAAGCTGCTGCCAACAAGGTCAGAGGCTTGCTAATGTCAAAGAGGCTATTCTCAAAACTGTGGTCCAGCAAAGAGAAAGACGGAGAGAACAGTAGTTCTGATACCTCTGAAAGCCCTGCATCGACGAATAATGCTGAAGAAACTAGATCTACCCCTACCAGAAATAGGAGGCATTCACAACCTTAATCACAATCTTGTTCAAGGTTTATAGTCAAGAGAATAACGGTGCATTTTAGTGTGCCCCAACAACGTAAAATTAGCTCACTTTTTTTATTTCCTATGTAGGAATAGGTAGGTCGACTGACAAATTCTATCTCGCCATGTACAATTCCAATGGACCAAAGTGTTAAGAGGTTACCCCTCTGGTTCGTCGGTATAGGAGCTAAGGCTCGATGCAAGTGTCAAGGTATTCGAGTTTAGGTAATGTGTCAGTTTTAGGTTCTAACACGAGATTTTTCCCTATATATGAAAGCGGAAATGTATTTCCCTTCTATCAGTTTGTTTTTTTGTTGGCTACTTTAAGCAACAAATGAAATCTTATTGTAGATGCTGAAATTTAGATAGTTTAGGATGACTGAGCTGTAATAGTAGTAAAATGTTCGCTACTCAATCACTCGTATATCATATGGAGCCGCTGTTACAAGAGTTGAGTTGTTTAAAGCGCTATATATAGGTAATACTTAAACTTTTTACGAGTGATTTTTTATGAATTGCTGAGAAATGGTCTTAAGCTCTCAAAATGTAGTTTCTTATGTATATTCATATATATCATCAATATATTTATTTACGTTGTATTCCCTCCGTTTTAAAATAATAATTTGTGTTACCTGCTCGTACAAAATACTCCTCCTGCAGTCCAGCTTAAACTTTTAAAGCCGACAGACAGAAAGTGGGCTTCGAGTAAAAGTAGTGGGTAAAATGTGCAGAAACTAAAATGCACGTGTTTTATTTTATGGTAGTAGTTGAATACAAATTTTTACGGCAAAACTCCCTACACCCCCTCAAAACGGCGAACTCACGTTCGCCTCGCTATTTCTAGCTTCACGATAATATCTTAATAAGCAATTGATGATCCTAACTCACAGAAGTCACAGGCAATCAACTCACTAAGCAAATTGCTAGCCTAATCAAATCAATTACAAACAAATTGCAATGATGTTGATGTTGTTGTTGTTGTTGTGGCAGCGGTGATGGCGAGATGATGGTAGTTGTTGTGCAGTGGTAGCGGCGAGACAACAGTGGTCATGTTGGCAGCGGCGGCAACGAGAAACGATGGTTGTTGTGGCTAAATTTGAGTGGGTTAGAGAGGGAAAATGTGAAGGATTGAGAAGCAGAGAAAATAATAAAGAGTGAAGCTCGATCAAATTTCCATTAGTGAAGTCTGTGATTTTACCAGGGATTATATAACCCTTCTTTTTTTTTTCTTTTTTTTTTTTTTTTTCTCTCTCTTCTTTTAATATACTACGTATAAGGGTGTATAAATTTTACATACAAATGAACATATAACGATTTGTAAATGAACATTCAAGATAATCCTACTACCGGAGGAAATATCATTCAAGGAATAAAAAATTATCAATTCAATTTGCTACTCATGTTCTTTTTACTAGATGATATAGTGTTTGAGATTTCAATGAACTAGTAATGATCGATGTGATAATGAACGCGGTCATTTAATATAATTTTATATAGTTTACAATTTTATTTTACTTTTAAACAATTATACAATAATATCTAGCAAACAATACCTACATATTAATGTATGGATTATGACATATGAAGTATAACTTGTTTATCGAATATTAATATAGTCAGCGGAGGTTTTAAATTGACAACTTATGTTAATGATCAATCACCAATGCAAATCACGTTTTGAACATTTAGCTTTTTATTCATGAACATGTTACTTTTCTATTTTCTAATATGAACACTTTATATATACTAGCAAGATGTATGCATCTGAAGGATGTGATGATTCATAGTAGTACTAAAGGAAAAATAAACTTCCGTTTTCTTCTTAATAAAAAAAAAAAAAGTGAAATTGTAAATGGCGAAAATTGAAAGATTAGATATCAAAATATACAATACAATTCCGTATATATATAATATCAAACACGATAAACTTCTCGATCCAAATTCGAAAAATTCAAGCTTATGTTATCGATTCATGTTGTTTGGTGACTCCATGTCTTCTTAGTTTATTTTCTTTTTGTCGTCTTCCTTTTTTCCTTGTTATTGAGTGGTCCAACTCACTATATCCACGATTCTTTTTCTATTTGATAGATAAAACATATAAAATATTGGATTTGAACCAACAAAATAAGTGTTGAAATGAACTGATTTTCCTATGAAAACGAACATGAATTTGTATAACAATCAACACGAATACATGATCGAAGTAATTTAATATGGAAATGATCATATATAATTATATAAATGAACATTTATCAATTTGGAAATGACCATGGCAGATAATGATCGATGAACATGAAATATATACGTGAGTAAAATTGTGAAGCTATCATTAAGTGATTGTCATATATTCATATGAGATTGAACATACGTTGAATTTCAAACTTATTGAAATGAACATTATTTTTTAATGTGAAAATGAACAATAATCCAAGTGAATATATATCAATATGTGAATGAACATTTTTTTAAATATGAATAAACAGATAAATATATTAAAGTTAAATTGAATAATAATTTAATAATATGTGAATGAATATATATTAATGTTGAAATGAAGATCTAACTAAATGGGAATGTGCATCTATTAATAGATGAGCAATCAAAACATATATCAGTATTGAACATTTTTTCTAAAAGAGAATGAATATCTAGCAATAATTGACTATTTACTTATCAAAATCTAGACAATTGTACTCAACCTTTTATTTTTAGGCAAACAATTTAATAAAATAATAAGAGCACACGACAAATTAATATAATTCAATTGTGATTGTAAAAAGAATCACTTCCATGAAAACTATAAGTAATCACAAACTCTTACTAAAATTTCCTATTACATCTATGGAAAATATTAAAAGAAGATGGACATAAATATAAAGACTTATCAAAATTCTAATAATCGTATGTTAATGTGTAAATGACCGTATACCAGTATGTGATTGAACATTTACCCATATAAAAATATACATTCATACAAAGAATTTTCCATTCTAAACAATAAAAAAGAAAATATAATGAACATTAATATATATGTGAATGCCCATGTACTAATATTTTTTTTTATTTTTTTTTACAGGAAGAAGAATATTATCATTAATAATAAATAGTCATACGACATCTACAATAATAATAAAGATTTGTAAACCACATATCTAGGGAAAATAACATAACTTTTACAATCAAAATCATAACTAGTTTGCATATCGAGCATAGCTCACACTCCACCACTTCAAACTTGACGTGAGCAGTGATTTTCGATGTCTTTGCATCTTTCTAAGTAGAGAGACCTTCGCAATCTGCATTGATGTTTTGATCGTAGAGTTGATGACGAACCCTAAACCCATATGAATCCAAATCACCTTCTTAATTATTATTAAAACCCTAAAAATAAAATTCTCATCCATAGATGAGAATTAAAATCCCAGAAAATTGGGACACTCTCACAAACGGAGAGAACAAAACAAATCAAATAATAAAAAAGCGAATTAAATCAAAGAAAAAGGGTTGGAAATAGGCTAATTTCCGACCTAAACGGCCAAGAAAATTAAAACCCTAAAGAGAGAAGAAAGAGAAGAGCATTATTATTTGCCTATGTACTAATATACAAATGAACATTTATATTAATCATTGATTAACATGTGAATGACTTTGTGCTAGTCAATATATATATGAACATTTATCAAATTGAAAATGAACATACGTAAAAAAGAACTTTCACTACTATTAACTAAATTTATCTTTCTACAGTCATATGAAACTGATCAAATCATTAGAAAATTGCAGCAATTGAACTTTGTTTTCAATTTTTTATCCAACAATATTCTTATCTAATAACACACCAAAAAAATTAATTCGTTGCAATTGCCTCTTATTGACACATATTCAACTGATCGAAAAATTCGTAAAAAAAAAAAAAGAAAAAAAATTGATTGAAATCGAAACTTTATTTCCTAATATGAATTAAGCCTCGAAGAGAAAAAATGAAAGAGAGAGATAATGATGGTGATTGTGAATGTATTTTTTTTTTATTTTTTTTTTGTAATTTTATGTGGCTTGGGGTAGGTAGCAGTTGGGTCACTTGGGTGCGGGAGAGTGTAGATGAGGCCCATGAGGGGGGTAGGTAGATTTCCCTAGACTTGGGTGTAGGGTTAATAACTAGTAGTTGTAGGCCTTGAAGCTTCAACCAGATTTAGTGGGCCAGCCTGTCTTGTCTTTTATGTGTAGAAGATGAGAGGCCCAGCCCATTATTTCCATTGGTGTGGCCCATCTAAAATATTTGGACTAGTCGGTCGGTCTCGGAGCCCCTGTTCAAAATCAGGTCTCGACATAAAACACAAGAATGAATCTCGACCACAAATTATAAAGTTTGATACCATTAATTAGCCCAACATAAGCAAGCCCAGTTAGACCCACCAACTAATGGTACCACAACTCATTTTGCATTCTTCCATTGGTTGCTTAATGTAAAGAGTACTAGTTAAACCCTGTTTTTTGAATAATTAAATGATGATTATCTTAAAGCAATTTTCCACAATCGTACTTATATACTCGTATTAATATATGTGTGTACGACAAATATTTGCCTATGTATTAGTCAATGTGTTCCATACTCAATATAAAGTGAGCAAACAAATGAAAACAGATACAAAGCGCTCCTATGAGTTAAGAATTAGGATATAGTCATGTCCGTCAAGAGCATAAAGCCTATATTCCAATTGATATTCTATATCAAGAACAATAGATAATGAGAGAATAAATATAATTTTAATCAAGGCTAACTTACATGACGAATAAGTACACATATAATTATAACTATGAATTTCAATCATGCTATTGCACTTATGCTAAACTTCAATTGTTAAGTTACCTTCCTTTTAGGCTTTTACTACTACGTCATCTCATACGTACAATGAGGGCAATTGTTGAAGTGTGCATGATGGCCAAACAACATTTTTTAATTTTAAAAAAAAAAAACGCATGCAAAGCTTAATTAATCATTCATTACTAAAAAAAAAGAAAAAAAAAAGGAAAAGAAAAGTATAATTAATCATTTTGTCTTCAACTATATAGTTGATTGATTTGTTACATATATAAAAATGCGTGGCACTTCATTATCCTTGATTAATTGATTTGATCAATATAAACAAGAGTGATTAACAATAATACAAGTGCGATAAGACTAGCTTTAATTATGGAGTATATGACATTTACCTACTTAATTTTGCTTAATATGACAGAAAATTAGGCTTAGAAATGTTACCAATTAAAGAGGTGCAATTCATTCCCAGATTTTTTGGGATAGGAGAGGTAAGGTTACCAACAAAGAAAGTGTGGAGACCACTAAACTTTGTGCATTAAACATGTAGCGCAGGCAATACATTAGTTAAATGGTCCCCTTAGATTGTTTCTTTTAATTATTTAATTTTTGTATTTTTGTTAGCATCATGTCT